TCACGCACGAAATTTGAACGAGGTAAGACTGGTAATCAGTAACATCCTGATTGGCTAAAGCGGAAAGTTTGTATTTTATTGGGGGCGTCAGCAAATTATTTAACTGTCATTTCGCGAAATATTTTGTTTAAAACATTTCACAAATTAAAATGAGCAAATTTACTTGTTTATGGGCAAATATATCGATAATTTTTACTACTTATCACGGATAGAGTTTAAGACTGAGCCATGAGAGTGGAACGGTATATAATTTATGTAAGCTACCAAGTGTTTTAAACAGGTAGGTGCCATTTTGTTTATTCCGTATTTGCTGTATTGAAGAATGCTGTCTATTGTATATGAGCTTGATATCATTGATATGTCGTCTTGCAAAAACATTATCGACTACCAAAAGCTAACACACCATTGCTTTAACTTCGAAAGGGATTTTGAAAGTGTAAATTTGAATTTTGATAAAACAAACGTCAATTCAAAGCTTTTTAGTCGACTGCAAATATTCATTGCATATGAAATATAAAATATTCCGAACAATAACATTCACGTTTAGTTCCTGAAGATTCTGTACAATTTTGATGTTTTGACGGTTGAATTTTTACTGTAAATGTCCATAAATTGTATTAAGCTGACAGACTATTAAATTTTCGGCTCAATGCAGCTAAAAAACCGGCGATTTTAACCTTTGGTTTGTGACTATATTCCGAATATAAAGTAAATCAGCTATCGACATGATAAACATTGATGGCGCACGTTTTGGCTGCTATGATTTCAGTCATCATGTTTGATATAAATTGGCGAGGGGTTACTGCGTCCATGTATTTCTTGTATTTACTGTTTATACGCGAATACGGTACGCGGTAGTCAATATTTGATCAGTAATGTATTTCAGAATGAAAAAAATTATATGCAGATCAGATTTAATATAGCTACTCCTTTGGCTTTGGTTTGCCAATAAGCAGAACCGAAAAGTCTCTTGGGCATAACCAGGATATCAAATCATTTCCATAATATATTTCAAGAAAAGATTAACACGATTGGTGAATTGCAGTTTATTTTTATGACATGGAAAATGCAGAAAAGGAGGGTTAGAAATCTGATATATCTATAGTATTTTTAAACCCAGGCATTGAAAATTTACGCTACAATTACAAATTAATTTAACTTACTGCAAAAATCAACAGTGTCAGGGTATTCTTCATGACTCTGAAATAAATGCACCAAATTTCGCAAAAACCAGATGAGATGATTGCCGACTGATTATGCTTGGAGAAGAGATGCCTCGGTTTAATTTTGAAAAGCCTTTTTTCTGTTGCTTTTTAAGTCCAACGGGGGATCCCGATATCGTTAATTACGATTATTTATGATCCATTAGAAGTGCATGAATCGTTTAATATCGGTTTCGTATGCTTAACAACGCATGAATAACCGCCGAACGACATGCATTTATGTTAGGGGACATGATTTGTAACAATAATTGCATGTTTTTCACGGGCAAAAGCAGATATTTTCTAGAGCTGTTCCACGGTTACGAGCTGGATTAAATTTAACGAGACGTGAAATGATTTTGAAAGATCAACTGGACTAATACCTAAACTCTAAAGTTGTCGAGGCTGTCTATGTCACCGCATTTTGTCTTTGGGCTTCGTCATGTTACATATAGGTCTTTTTTTAAACTGAAAAAGCACGCTTCCTCATAATTTGACATGCACCTACGTGTCATAACATGCATATTCTAATCCGATTTGTCTTACCCATAATTATTATAGGTAAGTGAAATGCAATGGTCAGAGTTTCAACGGGTTAAATTTTAACCCGCCGCTTTAGTTGGTGTGCTTCTGCACCACTCTTCGTTCCAAAACTTTACAAAATAAGACTTCTAGTGTCTAAAATAATATACCCATGGAAAAAATGTTCAAATTTTATAAATAAGGTTTAAAACACTCATTAATATTCAATAGACGTTTTGACCAATCCAATGAACCTTTTTAAACACGTGAGTAGGCTTTTATACTCGATAAAGCAATATATAAAGATACATGTGGCTTTATATAAAGACACATGTTCAATCCGATTGCTCGCTTCGCCTCGCGTTTTATATCGCAAAAAACACTCCTACTCGTGTTTTAAATAGTGATGTAAAGATTTGCTTTAACCCTGTATGGGTTAAGTTAACTGTCTTTTGGAGAAATTGGCCCCTTAAGCCCAGAGAAACAGTATCAGGCAGTCAGGTCATGACTGTCATGCATTATTGTACTGATGAGAGATATTAGTTTACGCAAAAAAATTCTTGCGGTGTTCTCATTACTGGTTATCTAATTGTATATTGTTGAGCATAGTGTGTGGTATAGCTACATAGCTACATCTCAAGTACACGATAAAGGAAAATTGTGATATAATGAACTAGTCTAAGTTGAGAACTAGTAATTCGATTTCATATTGTTCATACAAAACATGTGCTCCAGTATTTTTTTATAAACAAATAATATCAAATAAACGATGTTTATCAGGGCCAATATTAATACAGTGCTACGGTATTAATACAGAGTTATTAGGCAATAAGCACACATTAACATTAATTTCCTATCCATTAACAATATCGATTCATTACCACTTTGATTGAAAAAAAGACATTTGGAGACATAATCAAATGACTGTAATGGGGGTCGGGGGGATAATTAAAAAGTATATTAGGAATATCGAAATGTATTTTTGTGGCCATTGGCATGCAATGTAATTCATTCGTACAGCAATGAAGGATTAAATATTTAATACGTAAATAGAAGAATTATTAACGGAGACCATATCTCATATAACCGTAGTCCTTACTTTCAAGAGAATAACTAAAAAAGTCCAAACATGTTTTTATGAAATTGACCATAAAGAAAAAAATGGCAGCATCTACATTTTACCACAATGCATTGCAAGCATCAATCATAAATGACTAACAAAGCATGAGAAGAAAATCACCTATAATGATATGAAACTTTAACCCTGTAGTCTAAGTTCTGAACTAGTAATTCAATTACAAAACATGCATGCTTGTGCTTCAGACATGTAAGTTAAATGTCCTAAGAAACGAGTGGATTTTTTTCATAAACAAATAATATCAAATAAACGATGTTTATCAGGGCCAATATTAATGCAATGCTACGGCATTAATACAGAGTGATTAGTTAATTTGCACTCAAAGAATAAATTAATTTTCCTACCCATTAACAATATCGACTCCATTACCACCCATATTGAAGAGGAGGCATTTGGGCACTATAATTATAAATCAAATGTACTTTTAGAGAAAGTGGCTGCAATGGGGAAATCATTAGTAAGTAAATTAGGAATATCGAAATGTATTTTTGCGCAATTGGCATGCAATTCAATACGTTCGTAAAGCAATGCCAATGTAGAATTGAATTCTCAATAGACAATACATGAATTGAAGAATTAGAAACGGAAACTCTATCTGCATGAACTTAGCTACTACATTAATTCAAGAAATAGCAACAAATGCCAAACATGTTTTTATGAAATTAGCACCAAATTGAAAATGATATCCTGGTTAATAACTGAGTTCAGATCGAGCTTATAAGCTTATGTGTGCATAAATTTCAACCTCTAGTAGCCTTTACTTGCTGCGAAACATCAACAGTTCATATATTAGAACCGCATCAGACAAATGATACCGACCAGTTTGCCTAATAATAGCGCTGGGTTCGTGCGATCTCGTGTCTGAAAGTTGTCAAAGAGTAGGGACAAACCTTGCAAGAAACTTACCAGTGATTTCCACAACAGCAATTCTCGAATCTTGTTTGTTCCTTAATTGTGCGACACAATCTGTGACGATGACTTATTGCAAGATTATCAATTTATCATGTGGGGAAACTTAAAACGCTTCTGTTTCCTGTAAGGCTGTATAAACATGAAGCAATTTTCAAATTATATGCCGACGAATGTACGTATCCATCAGAAGTTACAATTTTATAAAAGAGTTTGCCTTATCAAGAATATATGTAAACGCAAAGCCGTAATTTCAGTATAGTAATTTATATACTAATTTAAGTAAGCTAAATTTTAAATAAAATATAGCTACTGAGCATTTCTTGCACCGGCGCGGAATTTTTATTAATTTGAATATTTCACTCGTGGAAGTTTTATAAATTTTCAAGTAATACTCATGCTGAGAAATCAAAAATCAGCATAATGAAAATGTCGATATGTCGACCTGTTGAGCTATCAAGCATACAGATATTACCGAGTGTGTGGGTATTTTTGCACATGGCAATTTTCTGCATCATTAGCGTCACGTTTCAACATCTGCAAAAAGTCGTGTTAAATGAATGTAGACTATTCTCACTGAATAAAGGTAAACATGGCCTGTGCTCCATTTTTATATATCAATATTAACAATTTTATTCATTTCTTTTTCGTCTTCTGGCCATGCTTAACGAGGAAAATATCCCGATATCAAGTTCTACTCTCACGAGCCCAGTGGCGTAGCCAGCCTGACGATTTAGTCATGCTACGCAAATTTTATGTTATTATCATTATTTCACAGTCAATGAACACCAAAATATTAGCATAGCATGACTAAATTATCGGGCTGGCTACGCCACTGCACGAGCCACGTGCAATGATGCAAAGCATATCTTTCTTCAACATATTCATGAAATGAATTTTTGTGAAAAATGTGGCAATAAGTAACTGTTGAGCATCTTTGCACATAGCTTGTGAGAATAAAACTTGAAATCTATCTCAGTTATATAAGGTGGTTCTAAATCGATTCCTCCGGTAATATTCTTCATCCCCCCCTGTAAATATTCCGTTGTTTTTTAGCCCTTATATATCTTACCTCTTAAGTAGCTAACTATTAAAAACGCATTTTCTTTGAATAGAATGCTTTGAAATTGTATGTATATAGCTTATAGGCTTATAGAAATTGTATGTATATAGCTTATGAAAAATTGCTTTAATAAAATTCAACTTCTACAATGATACACTTACATAAGAATTAAAACTATTAAAAAAACATGCAAATTGTATTGGAATAAGAATATCAGAATAAATATACTGTAGTTCCCTGACCTAATGTTAAATATTACATTATCAGAGTAATCTTGTTTCGCTCACAATTGTTTACTCCTGACTGAACTCATATTCTTTCTTATCTTATAAATGTCTATAATTATTGTCTTTGATTCTATAATGTAGGTAGGTTACAGTCGCTATAATGTTTGATATATTCAATAATCCGCGCGCAACCATGATATAGGCACCGTTGCCATAAAGGCCGATCTAAATGATGCGATTAGTCGTATACGATTGTTATCCTGACGTATGAAAAAGATTTATGACGCCACTCTTTCTGTTCATCAGTTTATAACGAAGTTTAAAATGTGACATCTTTACACGCATTTATTCGAATACATACGCCAGTATACGAATCGTATACGACTAATCGCATCGTGTAGATGGGCCTTAAAGAAGAATGCGTAGAAGCCATGCACTGTACCCTACCTCTCGAAGATTAGTTTCTGTATCAAGTAAGGTATACGTCTTTATCCACGATATTTATATGTACTGATCAGTACACGCGACCACATCGATTATATATGACATAAATATCATATGATTAATAATTTTTATCTAAATCCCTACCTCCTTCACAGGCGTTTCATAATACTGCGTGAGGGCGGGAAAATTACGGAGAGAGCGCCGCATTTCTAATGCTGCCTGCACCGCTCTCCCTAATTTTCCCGCTCTCTCGTAGTATTATGAAACGCCTGTGGAGGAAGTAGCCTAAATCCCATGCATTTTTAGCGCAATTTTGGTTCCGATAGAGATTCCAAGCGGTCAGAAGCACTACGTACATAACGTCCTTTATTAGAATTCCTCCTTCTTATTAACCTACAGCGGTTTAACTATAGCAGTGGCGTGCCTCCTTTTTTCTATCATTCCTGGCAGTTCTTTCCAGCTATTTCCACCCATGGTGTAAGATTCCACTGAGTTGAGATATCCCTGCTTCCTGTTCCATCCTCCGAACACGACAATGACGTCATCCATGAGCACGGCAGAGCAGCGGCTCCTTTTGTGAATCATAGATGGCAGTCTCTCACTCTGTCCAGTCTCCGTGTCATACTTTATGACGTCATTTAATGCCCGATTATCCCTATCCGCGCCGCCAACAACAATGACAATTTTACCCCAGGTGACTGTGGACATATAACAAACAGGCTGAGGCAACGGTGGACATGGCTTGAACTCATTCTTAATGAAATCATAAACAACAACGCTATCAAGAGCATTTTCACTATAGCCTGTCGTTGACCCGCCCAAGATAAATAGTTTACCATCAATAAGTTCTGCCTTGTGATCGATTTTTGGTTCAGCCATTCTCGTCAGCAGCTTAACAGTATAAGGAGGGGTAAGAGCAATCTCATAAATGGCATCCGATGGTATTCTTTCATTCCAGTTTAGTCCACCTACTATATATAAATTTCCTTGATAAACTATGACGTCATGACCAGATAATCTGATAGGCAGTTTACCATCAAACATTGTCCATTGCAGAGGATGTTGGTTTATCTTCAAAACTTCGATCTCGTCACTTCCTTCTTTACTAACATAACCACCAACGACAAGAACGTCGTTGTTGTAAACACACGATGCTGATGATGCCCGAGCATGACTCAATCGTGGTAGCTGAGTCGACTTTCCTTCTGCTATGTTGTATTTCTCGAGTGTATCTAGTACCTGGTCACTTCCATCGCCACATCGACCACCAATAATAATAATAATAATATCTTGATTGTTGACTGGACCTGGGTCGTTAATAATAACTCCTTGGGATGGTTGGTTCATCATCATCGCCATCAGTCTCTTTAATTGTTTTTTTATCTCTTTCATACTTTCCTAGGGTGAAAAATAAAATACTTTAGGCCTGTTTTAGACTTTTCATGTGCCGAACCTAATGTTAATGAGCTGAAGTCTTTGTTTAGTCATTTGCATTCGATATGCATACATATCCAATACTCTCGCAAGCACACCGATGAAAGGGGTATTCACTATCGGTAATAAATAATTTCATTTCGTGAACTCCAGCTGAGCTAATCATAGACATACGCGCACTAAACGGCCACACCCACCGTCGGTACCGTCGGTACCAACGGAAAATAAGTGATTTTCCATCGGTATTTTCAACTGATAATTACCTCCTTACAGCATGACGTCGCGATATCTTTAAATTTGTGATATCTTATTATTGCCACATGTTCCATTGCGTGTTTCTTAATCTTATCGTTACAATTCATCACCAAAACGCAAGTATATATAAATGTATTACAATATATATAAATGGCATTGTATATGCGTGCAATATATTGATTCTTCGTTCTCGAATATCTCCCATAGTGTGCTCCTGCGTTTTTATACTATATTTTGTCGTATCGTTATAATTCATCACCAAAACGCAAGTATTACAATATATAAATGACATTGTATGCGTACAATACAGGGTGTATCAAAAAACCTGCAAATACCATAATTTGTATGCACGAGATTATACATTAGAATTTCCATGACTGTGCAACTAATTACGCTTCTGGGATTTGAAAATAGGTTTCCCAGGGTTATCAAACAAGCACACAAAGTGAATTAAACTTATGAGTTCGATTACGAGGTCGATTTGAGTTTGGGCGTACTTTAAAACAAGAAATACTCTTTGCTCTGTTGTTAGCTGAGCCATTCGTAATCGGCCTAATTTTTAATCACTTTGTGTGCTTGTTTTGATAACCCTGGGAAACGTATTTTCAAATCCCAGAAGCGTAATTAGTTGCACACTCATTGAAATTCTAATGTATAATCTCGTGCGTACAAATTATGGTATTTGCAGTTTTTTGATACACCCTGTATATCGATTCTTCGAAATTTTACCAACGTATCTTCTTTATACTCTGCTGTGACTTTCTTGTTTATCACAAATACTAGCCGTTCAAAGGGCAAAGGGGCTGTTTACATGCACACTTTTTGGCTCGGGTGATTTCAGGCCAGCGGCGAATTGATAAAGGTAGTATGTTAGTAGAGCTATTTCGAATTTCAACCACACGTAAATTACTACCATTTTCTTCAAGTATGAACCGTGAACTATTTGACGGGTGTGTGTTTATGTTTTAAATATAATGAATTGTCATTAATTTTTTACCTGCAGACAAAAAGGCACCTCGCAGTATGTTAGTAATTTGAAACTGAAAACAGCTGCAGCAACTGTATGCCAGTTCGAATTAAACTGCGGGAGTTCAAAGCTTCACAAATCTGTTTACAATAATTATGGTGTAGCAATTTTACTGTTGTTTAATCTACGGCTCGCTCCTTAAACAAGCGAAAGAAACCTCGGCGAGTATTCACAGGCAGAAATTTTTGTCAAAACCATCAACACAATATTAACAGTTTATCCGCCTGTATAAAATGCCAAATCATTAACCTTTTTTACCTCCATCTTACTTTTCCTCCATATTCTTAATGTGTACATTCATTCCATCCACAATAATCAGGAAGTGTGGATATGTTTTAGCTATGATACTTGAGACTCGATATGATAAAATAAATATGATAAGTGTTCATGGGGCAAACGGTAATATAATATATAGGGCATACTATATACATTCTCAGTATGGAGCCGAGCATACAAATTATATATGTATAAACGCTTTGTGAGTTTATGCAAATTGAAAGGAATGAGTGGCCAAGACCGATCCTACCTTCATTTCATCCTGATCTATCTTCATTGCAGACATTTGAACATTCGTTTCATCCTGACCTGCTTTAAATTCATCCACAATTTCCTAAGGCAAAGTTAAAATATCAACATATCATATTTAGTATGCATATGGTGTCCTTTGTCATAATAAATTATTGATAATACGTTTCCGTTTCATTAGTCCGTTTCATTAGTCATTTTTGACATCGGAATAAGTTTATCTTGATTCAAGGCAATAAATGGACTGGAATATTTGTTTTACCTTTATTGCATCCTGTTTTCTTTTCATTTCATCCTGATTTCCTTTCATTGCATTTACATTTTTCTAAGTCAAAGTAGAATTGTTATCAAAACTCTCAGATGATATAGCTACATCTTCTAAAGTTATTTTCCAGGATAAATCTTTAAAAAGAAATTCACAGTCTCCGATTAGCTGATAGCCATGTCTAAAATCGTCATGCCCAATGTTTGATGTCATGACATCATAACGTTAATTAGAGAGTAATGCATGGATATACTAAAGAAATCACGCTATACTAAAGAAATTTCATGCACACGTTGCTAACTCAACGTACAGCTCTGAAGATAAACGGACTTGGGACTTCAGTAATTGCAAATTTATCAAGTTATAAATTTCACATCTGGCTCACCATGATATTCTTACAGTCGTGACATTTTGCGATTCTGAACTGACAAAGATCGTTCTCGTGAGCTTTAATATCTCTTTTATTGACCTCTGTCCCACATCCTTCATTACGACACATAACAGGAGCATATACACATTCCTCGACATGTCTTGGAAGCTCCTCTAGACGGACGTGATCAGGACATCCTCGATCATGATGATCACACTTGATTTCTAGGTCGTCCAAATAATTCTTCAGGAATCCTGTTGGTCGTCGCAAGGTTTCTTGATTCAGAGGATCTCTGCAAACTGGACATGTTTCAGAGTTTTGAGCGAGATGTTGTGATATATGAGCGAAGCAAAATATGTGATCTTTGTGCTGGCAAAGTCGGGGATCTTTTGGAACTTCCTGACAAATAACACAAAGTGAATCCACTTTGACTTCTCCTCGAAAACGACTCACGTCATAACCTTGCAATTTATCTTCCCATCTCGCTGCCATGAATATGATCTCTGCGTTGGTAGAGTCTGGGCTCTTTAGTGCCCTTTGAGAAAGAGAACAAAAAAGAACATCTCTAACTCTCCATCTAAGAAACTCGTGTCATATTCTTGCATGCGAATATCTTAAAATTTTGTTATAAAGTCCTAGAACTTATGGCGAAAGTTTAATCTGGTTCATAGAGGTTGGTCAAAACCTTATTCAATTCTATACGGTTTTATTCAAACTGAATCCAGCGCTTGCTTTGAAGAGCCAAGAGAGCGAATGTGAGATTCGCGCAATTGCTAAGGTTGGATTGAGCGAAATTCCAAAAGTTTTATTTATAATTTACGTTTATCTATACTTGGCACTTGGCACTGAGGTCACTGCGTAGCTCAGTTACCAAAGCTGCATGTTAACCGGCATCGCATAGGACGAAGGTTTGATTTTGCCTGCAGGGAGCTTTAACAGACTAGCAGTGAGTACGAGTACGACTACGAGTACATGATTCGTCATTCACGCGTGTTGTTTGGTTACGCCTTAAGCCAAAACTCGTATTCGTCGAATTTTTGAGTACGAGTTTGTTGGTAAATTTCGTACTCGAAAGCCCCACAGGTTTCGTCAGATAGCGTAGGGAAAAGCACTGAGTTTGGAGCGAAAATGTCGAATCTTGTACTCGTAGTCGTACTCGTAGTCGCCGCTAAAGCTCCCTACTGCATAGTTGTCACCTGCTCGCAACCTGCTCGTGGTCAGGTTCGAAAGCTAGTTATACGATATAAGCTAGAAGTAGTAGCAAGATCATGCAGCTTGAACGGTCGAAAATGAAATATATTCAACTTACCAAAGTTGAAGGATTGTGACGGATTTCCACTTTAACCATGAAAGTTAATCTTAACGTGTCAATAGCATCTTTTGTTTAAGACAATTCCTTCACCTGTCGCAATGTTTATTCAGTTGTTCAAAACATAGCATCATTTAATTGATTTTATAGCATGACCTGCTCCTTCCTTATATAGTAGTGGTTCGTTTTCACAACACCTTTTTTACCATCACGCTGTGAGGATTTTAATTATCTTCAGACATTTGAATTTTTTGTAATTAAAAGTATCAACATGATATTCCAAGTAATGTTAAATGGTTCACTTACTTTTGGTAAGTATTGAGGTTTATGAAGTCACTGGTTGGTGTAAACAAAAAGTTTGGATAAAGTTTCATATTTCATCCACAAAACACCTTCTCTCGATCACAAGAAACAAGACGCCCATTCACGTTCCGGCGCGCATGCCACTCTTGTTAATTACAAAATTCTGAATGTAATATACACTACAGGGTGTCCCAAAAAAAGAAAACTATTGAAATCAGTCATCAGAATCAGGTCATGGTCCTTGATATACACATTTAAATATTATTATCCATATTTGTAAATTGCAAATATTGTTAATAAATATCATTTTTGCGTACAGGCAAATTTTACTGCATCATATGCATGCATAAAAATGCGTATGGCAAACATTTATACACTTGTGGGTCCCAACAGAGTTCTTAGGCATTCAAACTCTAACAATTGCATTGTTAGTTGCGAGCCCAATTATCTGATGCAAATTATTAATCTATTGTCTGTCACTAATGAGGCGAATAAAAATAAGATTGATAAGATACCAACTCAGCGTGGCCTAGTTATGGCTAGCTTAAACGTTTATCCCATACGTATAGTGTATTGGCATGTGCGTTCAAACTAACTTGAATTCAAAATACCTTAATAACAACGCTATTCGTTACTTATTTCTAAAGAATAGAAATATGTAATTTCTAAAGAATTACATAGAAATCAAAAACCCTAGACGTAATTGATGTGGACAGGACAATTTATTAGCAATATTTTAGGTAAATCCTGAAAATCTTGCGTATGTTTGCAGATTTGTCACTTCCCCATGTCAATGTTGATTCCTGAGCAACATCAACATTGTTTGGGGGCCAGTAGGGTGTGGAGGGATAGGGTGTGGAGGGATAGGGGGTGTGATTTATGACCATGAAACTTTATTTTGTGCAATTAAAGCCATAGTGAGGTGACCTGTCCAAATAGTTTTTCCCTGATTGTACCAATATCATTGCAAGTTAGAGCTGTGGTAACTTATTCTGACCTATACCATGGTTCGCCACTGCTCGCTACCTGTAAGTCTATTGGCCCCTTGAAGAATTAAGAATATTTATGAACAGTCCCAAAATAGACATTTTATGTATATAAAACTTTCGAAACTAGGTTTGACAGTTGGGGACCACGAGATCGGCTTAGCGGGTTATGAAATTGTTCTAAGGGACCGAGAAATGAAAGGTCGTAATTGTGGGGGATTTGCATCTCTTGCTGACTCCCCTGCAAGTCACTAGAATTTGAACAAGTGACAAGCTCGACGTCCGCTGAAAATGTCGATGACTAATTATTACCTTCTAGGTGATAATTATAAAGGATGATTTTACACCAACATCTGAGTCACCAGCAATTGGCAGATTTAAGTAAATCTACTCAGATAAAAACGAACGATTTTTTAATACTTAGCCTAAATACAGGGTCAAGTTTAATAATAGATTTTTATCAATTTTTAATGTATTATTTGTACAATTTTAATACAATAATAATGTTTACAACTACATATTCAGTGCATAATATTCAAGTTGACTCATTCAAGAGAGTTGTAAAAGTGTTATTTAATTTTGACTTATCCACCGTTTAAGCTAAACGGGCTAATGTGGGAATATATTATGTCAAAAATCGAGTATACGCATTTCAATATAAATAATTTAAGTAACTCACATGCACACGACATTTTAACCCAGATTCCCGCGCGTATATAATATCGTCCTGTGAGTGTTCCACCCCAGCCACAGAAGTATTTGTAGGGCTTATTAATAAAGTGGATATCATGCTGTCTTTATAAACTAATGATGATAAAAAGTGAAGTAGCTGTGTCCAAAACGGCATTTGTTATGCATATGGAGTAAGCAAAATTTAAACATATATTCGTGTTTATTAGCGTTAAAATAATTTGCAGACTATGAAAGAATTCACGATACGGCTATCATTCAAACAAAATCCATAAGAAGAGCAAAAATACGATCCAAAATACCACTGACACTGTTTTGTGTCGAGGTGGTGCGCGTGAAAGACTACAACAAAATTATGAGAGTAACAAAACACGTTACAAGCATCAAACAAAAAATATTTGGCAATTAAATGAAATAATATGATATGGGATTCAACTATACACGTGCAGCGTAGAAAATAAAGCCTTTCCTGTGATACCTGTCTACTTGCACTGAGGTGCCCGTTCTCTGCATTCAACTAATATTTACCAACGAAATGCATATTTATTATTTTCACACAATGATTATTTATTCAACAGTTCCCATGCTTTTGCAAGTTTATTTAGAATTTACACTCTAATATTCCTCGATATATGGAATAGACGGTGACGATGACAGCAAAAATAAGAAATGTATAATTATAGTATCGTTGCCAGTAATAATTAATAGAACACGTGTGCGCTATATATTGATTTTACCACTATAGGTTATAACTGGTTATACATTCTTACTAAAAGGCGAACTTAATAAAAAAGAAAGTTTTAGAATTATTACATTTTCCTGACTATGTGTAGCTGCAAATTCAAGTAATCATCTGACCTTCGTCACCTGGCTGTGACTGCTATTTTTCAGTGCCCGAATCGGTATATTTTCTACTATCCATTTCACTATTGAGTCCTTCAATGCCAACTCTCTTTACTGAAACCTTACGAATCCTAAAATTTATCATTTCATCAGATATTTGATAATGCACGAATGCACGTGTACTTACTGAAAATTTCCGGTCATGAAAGACTGCATGATCTCTACGGAATTTGTTCTAATGTATAGACGTACACCTCAGGTGTTTTTGCCCAAGTATATGTGTTCGTGCATGTGAAATATTTAGATGGCAACGTTACCTTGGAGTCACAGTTTCATCCCAAGCTAACTTTTCTTCGATAGGCGCATCTTCTTCAAACAAATCCCCTGTTTCGCCTTTTGCTTCAAGAAGGAAAAAATACCCTAAGATGAGATCTCGATGTACATTCAAATCATTCACAGCCCCTCCTCCACGACGCTCCTTCTTTCGCCTCTCAATCTAAAACTTGCCTCCGCGCGGTCTCTTCGTGCACTACCGTAAAACAAGCAAACAGAGTTTGAAACAAACGGCTTCTATACGAATAGGCATAGACGTAGTCCATGTTTTTCTTCCACTGATGCTACGAGGCATTATTCGTAAGTCGTAACAAATATCATCCAAAGACATGACAAGAGACATGCAGATATCAGATATGATCGACATATTGACATTGTTTACCCACCCTCGTTAAAAAACTGAAGAGCGTCTCGGCGATCGTTAAAACGCGTTGGTTCGGGCCGTTTGGCGTTAATCGGAACGAAAAGGGAACAAATCTAAACAATGAAATTGCAACGGAAAACCTTCAAATGGATTATTTGATAATCATTCTGATAATCTGATTTTATCAAAATTACGGTTAAAGCAAGAGTAAATTTTGGCCGATCTAGTTTACGTTATATATATAGCTAAGTTAGTACGAGGCTGCATTTATATCTTCTAAAGCTTCTAGCCTACTATCAAATTACGAAACATGCACACCTAAATTTTGCGTTAGCAAAACGGTCAAAAGTGATGAAAACGAGCGATTATATTTACTTTTCAACAACTAGAAAGAAAACCATCGGCTATATATAAGTCTAAAACCAGTGGCTACAGAAGATGGAAATATATAACTAAAGCAAATTAGTCATATAAACTCAAACTTACCCCAATTATCAGCAGGCACTTCATAATTATAAAAAAGTTAATCTATTCTGATCCCCAACTATTTCAACAAAGATGATTATCATGCAGTTGGTGGTAAGATCGATACAAGCGACAGAGAATGTCTTGTATGTGGAGTATCTGTTAGCTTATGTGTATGCAGCTTATGTGTTTTAATATGAATACAAATTTATTCTATTCACTACAAAGACACTACAAAGATGCAACAAAGATTAAACGAATGCATGCGATTAATGTAGGTAAATGATGACTAAGTGCACCTTTTATGAACGTAATAAGTACTTTGGAATAATCTAAAAGGCAATTCCAGCGCATCTTTAAATAAAGGATGGCTGACAATTAAACTCCAAATATAGAAATATATTTATGAATTATATTTTTTTCAGATGTGTAGTTAGAGCACGCATGACAGCGATTTGTAATATGGTGAATTCGGCAGTGTTTTCTTAGTAATAGTTCCACTGATCTTTTGTCAAGTTGAAATAAAATGGAAACTGTTGAAAAAATAGAATGAACATAATTTGATGCACTAGATATAAGCCTGTTCACACGAGTGAAATAAGCGTAACCAGAAATAAAAAAGAAATCTTTTCCTCTATAGGTCAAAAATTATTTTCATTTCAAATGACTTGTTCCAGCTTCGCTAATGCGAAGTCTTATTCCTTGTGCTTATGTCGATGCTACTAGGCCTAGGTTATACGTTGCATTTTGGTCGCATCGAATGCAATTCAAAAAACAGATAATAAACCTCATTAAGTTTCATTAATATCTCATTATCTATTGTTTGAATTGCATTCGACGCGACCAAAATGCGACTGACGTTTAAGCTAGGCCTTAGACTGAGAGCCGGCCTTGAAAAGCGGTCTATGTCGTAGTTGACGTGTGAAAGGGGGCTCAAAATTTGACTTGATTCTTAATATTTTTTTAGTGTGCATCAGAAGATCCCGCCGGCAACTTTTATAGTATTTACAACAAAGATAATAACATCAAATCACACATCAGGTATAAAAAGGTATAACCCCGTGGAACTGCAAATTTTTTGACGATCTTCAGAGAACATGTAAGTTTTTTACGCATTCACTTACATGATTCGAGTTTGATTTAATAATTGTTTTGAATACCTTATTGGGTTAATATAACGTTGACTTTACGGGACGTTGACCAATACTATAATCCATACACAATACACACAAGAACACGTATTACCCAAATGGAAGAGGTGCGAACGGAACGTAAATAGTACATTTGTGATTAGACGACAGAAAGAATATTGTGGGTCTTTGGGTCCATTTTGCTTACTCCGGGACGCTTGACTGAAATTTATCAGCATTCAAATCTCTTCATTCAAAAGAAATTATTTTTTCAAACCAGTTTGACCAATATTTGTACAGTTACAAACATGCCGCCCAATACAAACAAGATCTGTCAGTTCCGTATGATAAATTAGGCTCGTCAAGACTCGCATTGAACAATTGATATGATCGTTAAATAAACCATCTCAAGCCATTAGGGAGTTATGATATACAATGC